GAAATGTCCAAACACAGTTTAAAATTTCATTTACAGTTAAAAGAGATTCACCTATGCAAGGTACATAAGTCACTAAACTAAATTGATTAAAACCTTCAAATGCTAAAAGAATACCAACAAAGAAAAAAAKAGTATGAACTGTAATTAAAACAATCTTTGCAAAGRCAGAAACATTGGACAGCTTACATTTGCTTTTTCCTTCAGAATCACCTCCTGAAGAAGAAGCATGTGGAACAGCTCCTGAGTCTGGTACACCCTCAAGAAGAGCATGCAACGAAGGTGGGCGCAAAGTACTTCTAAAAGCAGCAGCAACTGCTGCAGCAGACAATGCCGGGTGATCATCTTTTGCAGCATCATCTTCATCATCACTTCCAACTGATAAACCCAATCCACCAATAGCATTCGTGGCAAGAGAAATATCCTCCTCCCTGATGATATGCAAAACACGTCTCACAATGTTTCCAACTGCGAGTTCTGCAATCCCATCCATGTATCAATGTTACAGATAATTAATATAAGAGACTCAATCAGATCCATACCACTTGGAACATAGCATAGTAGTTGTACAAGCATAACACATGACAACTAGAGCAAGCCAACACATCCATGCACCATAACAACCTCTTAATCCACTCTAAATATGAGTGCTTAGAAAAAAGAAATGCTATGCCATGATGGCCCCTTGCCCACAGTTAACCCCAGGTGCATATCAAGGCTTTGGAATCCAAGAGCAATTACCTGGAATGCAGTGTGGTCACAGGGACAAGTTTAGCTATTCTTTTAATGTGAATGTCCTAAACATGGCAACAGCATCCAAAAACCAATTTTACAAAACACTGAGTGCCTTCCAATACATTCATTAAGATTCCACTCTCATCAAATAAACTATCATTAGGTCTAATTACTTCTTTGGTGATTTTTTATCACCACTTCTTGTGTTATTAACTTTCTAAATGAAGTTTTTCTTTTGCTATCATATTTTTCTGATTGCTTTATTCAGCCATATCG